AGTGCTCGGATCATCGGCCAACTTCTTTTCCCAAAGGTAAGCCCCAGAGCATTTTTAGCCTCTCATGTTTTATAAAATATCATTTGAGTCATTTATGTTTGATGCACTAGGTTATAAGAGTTGAATTGGAAACACTTGATGCATAGAACCACCTTGTCCAGATAAATATACCTTTAACCCTGTGTAGATATAGGATCAAATATATGCTTAGCCATGCTTAGACCGGTAGAAGTTAGGTGTTTCCTGTCACCTGCGAGATATAGGTGGATACCGAAGCACGGTTGACTATATTTACTATTGTGGAAAAGAACCATGGGGTAATGTAACTGGAGGTCGGACGTAGTCTATGCGTAGGTTGGCTCATGTGATTCGATCTGTGCTGATTAAGGACCATACCGTTGTTGGAACTTCTGTTGAGATTGAACACATGCCTCTCACTTAGTTGGCCGGATAACTCGTTCCGACCGTGAAAACGAGTAGCTCAACTCAGGCTAGGCTTCATTCTGTTAGAGTGCGCACTCTAGATGGTAGTAAGGATGTGCGGGGAGCCAGACGTGAGTTTAAGGGCAGGGTAGTCCTGATCGTCCTGGCAGCTGGTTGTCCCTAGTTGTGCGATGCTGATCGAACCCACGAAATGTGTACCTGAGTTGTACTAAAAGGTGACCTAAGGTGACCGTTGATCTGGTCTGTCTGGGTTTGTGTTAGGAATAAATTTTCAGCTGGTTGAAATCGATTTGAATCGTTGTCTCTTCCGGACAGTGAGAAACTTGGCTAGCTCCAACATTGTAGCAACTGGATTATGGAATGATGGTTATGGTGAACTTGGAACTTTTACACCGGCTATGGTTACTACTGTATGCTACTAAATGATATACCACATGTTTGGCACAGGTTAGTTGCTAATCTAGAGATGAATAGATATAATTAACTTGATGACCGAATTATAAATATATAATTGAATTAGTAGCTTTTCATATAAAATGTTGTCAAGCTAGCTCCACTTATAAAGCCTTGCATGATCCTTGGAGTCACTTTTTTTTGGTTTATAACGGATAAGTCTAGATGAGTACCTTCTCGTACTCAGAGTTTATTTCTCACTTGTTGCAGATGGTATAGTCTATCGTGGCTACTATAAAAATTGCTTCTGTCCCATCGTGGACAAGGAGTAAGGCCCTGGGCAAGGCGTCTCTCATTAATTCCCTCTATCATGCTTTTGTGGTTGTGATCATGGATTGACACTGTATTGGAACAATGATGTGAGGTGTTGGTTTCAAACTTAATTGCTTCGGCGACTATTGTATTTGAACATGGTTTGTAATAACTCTTAATCGTACTCTGATGTATGATGTTGTATTTGTGAACTGATGTAACATGTGACATGTCTGTAGAATCATATACAATTTTGGTTATATGTTGACGGTTAATCGAGACCCTTCATGGTACTCGATGATCTACCGGGTTTATATGGGCTCAAGTATGATAGTGTGACCGCTTACGGGCTGCCATTATACTTGTGCTCTTATAAATTGAACGGTTCTGCTACACGATTGGTGGCGAGCTCAGCGGTGGGGGCGCCGCCAAGCAGGCGAGGAAAGGCAACCAGTGGTCGATGTCGTCGGCTGGCGACAAGTGCAAGGTTAGGTCGCTGGTGGATTGGAATTAGCCAATTAGGTAAGGTCGGAGAAGGAGCGACAGGGGTGCACGGCCGTCGATAAGGATGCCAACGAGGTAGCCGGCGGCCAGGCGACATCCCAGGTGGTAGTGGGCAGGGAGGAAGTGGAAGAAAAACGATAGGTGTACGTACGCTAGCGCTTGTTCGGACGTCCGGACGCTAGCAAAGCCGTTTAAAATAGCATATCAAACACATTATTTTCAGTCTAAATTGTTTGGTCATGTCAGTCCAGCTGACACAATGAAAATACATTATCGCGACATATACATAGGACAATAAAAATACTATCATACTGTGGCATCATAGCAAATAATTTATTAGGATCTGTGGTGGTAGTATATGTAGTACCCATTTTTAAAGGCAAAATCGGATACATACCATATGTGAGACTAGGAAGCCAAATCACACGTATGGCTATAAATAATGGGTAATATCAAAAAACAATGCTTATTACATAACGTATTAGTATAAAGAATACAACATTAAACACAAACAACGGAAAGGAAACTCTGATCTTCAGGCGAAGACTCCAAATCTACAGAGATAATTAGCTGGTTTGATCACAAGTCTAACTCCTCCAAACCTTAGGAAACTGGTACCCATTCAGGATTTTTTCAAAGATTTAAAAATAAAACAAGCGTAAGTACGTATCATACTCAACGGATACAACATGGGGTTATGAAGCTCAAAAGGTTCGACATGGGTTTACTGCTATCAGCATTTTAGTGAGTCAAGTTTTAACATTAGAGTAGTAGCAAATTCAGCTTAAGCCCCCAAGTAACCACATGTTCAGTAAACAAGGGTTATGTACAGCAGGCTTCATCACATCTTGCCAAAAAAAATACATAAAACTCATAATTACTAAAGGGTAAAGTTCAATTTACAACCTTCAACTCTCGTCAAGTTCGAATTTCAACCTCGTACTCTAAAACCGGATAACTTTGGCCCCGAACTCTTGAAACCGTTCACTTTTCAACCCTGGGCCGGCTTCGGGCGGTTTTGACAGAAGAACAATACTTTTGATATTTTCGGGAGGCGTCGAAATTTTATATTATTTTTTTGAGCATCTTAACGTCCTCAAATGAAAAAACTCAAAACTACAAAGTTGTAGATCTTATTGAGAGCTACCACTTTAGTATAAAAGTATTTTTATTTAACTCCATACAAATAATATATTAGTGCTCTAATACGGCAAGCACTAGTAGACGATTATTATGGTGCTGAAATTTTATATTATTTTTCGAGCATCTTACTGTCCTCAAATGAAAAAATTAAAACTATAAAGTTGTAGATCCCATCGAGGTCTACAATTTACATATAAAAATTATCTTCATCCGACATCGTATTGAAGGGTTTTCTATTTTTTGAAATTTAAGTCTCGTCACGCCACATTATTGTTTTGTCGCGTATGGAGCGTGCGAAAGCGGATGCTGCACTGTTTCTCTTCGTCGCGCCCCCTCCTCGCGCTCGCAGCCCACAGCGACGCGGCCCAGAAGCCCATCAACATGCCTGCGCCCCCACCCGAGCTCGCCGGCGCCGCCCTCGTCTCCATCTCCGGCGCCGGCACCGCCCTCGTCTCCATCTCTGGCTCCAACTCCGGTGTTCAAAGTCCCCACAGATCAAGCACGCGTAGATTTGGAGTTACAGGAACTCATTGATTCGTTTGCCAATCGATGGACGGACTCGTGGAATCGCATAACCAGAAACAGGAATCGCCAAAGTCTCTGGTGCCAGGTGTAAGCAATGAGGATTGGGAAGGAAGGACAACAGCGAGGTTGGGGATGAGATCCAAGTACAGAGGAAGGATTAGAAGGTATTCAGACATTCAGTTGCCCTGTTATTAAAACTTAATCCTCCTTTACAGCTGTGCCCGTTACAAGCTGCCAGACGCACGCAGGCGCGGCCTCCCCACTTGAATTGGGCCCATCCCGGACCGGATTGGTCGTCGGGGTCCGAGTACCACATCGCGGCCCGGTATCCTTCGGTCTGATGTTTTGTGAATGAGTGGCGTGGGCGTCGTAATGGTCACGTTATAGGAGCGTACGTGTGTGCATGTCCATTTGAGCTTCTGTAGTGTGTTTTATATATAAAAGAAAAATGGAAGGAATGTTTGCATAGTTGCATGGGAACTTCCGACGAAGTATACGGGTACAACAATCACGTTATTATATTTGATGGAAGCAACAAATACATATATACTGGAGTGTGTACATGTCAAACCTTTATTTAACACACATGCCACGGCCACATTATGCAAACGGTACATGATATAATAGATTATAGAACGAACTAGCAAACCATGCAGTGCTCACATATATGGTCAAATGGGGAGAGACGTGTTCAGTCAGGAGCTAGCCGCGACGTCCCTTCTCCTCACCTTGACGGCAAGCCCATTCTTGATATGAAGTATGATGGACAGATTCGGCTGTACAATATTACAGTTCAACTGTATGCTGTGACTTCTCGAACCCAACATTATTACAGTTCAACTGCATGCTGTGACTTAAACACACCATACATATGGGCAACACTTGTCCTACATTTTAGGTGCCTAATTTTTTATTTAATGTTCAGGCAACATGTAGCTTTGTAATTTGTGAATTGTCTTTTGTGAGTTCTCCTTCTTTAATTATACTACTTGATTTAATTGTACTGGTTGATTGTCTAAGATTATTGCCTGAAAACTCAAACACGTGAATTATAGCAACTCATGGATGGTTGTCTTCTAATAGGTTTAGTGCTTAGTTTGTTGGTCTCCTTTTCTTTTCTTTTTCTTTTTTGCTTTTCTGTGAGCTCTTTAAATCTAGTAGAAGGTTGAACTGTAATAATGGATTGGTTGAGTGCAAAGGTCTTGAAGAGACCGGAGTAAAATTACCTTTTTCTATTAAAAAAATGTGCAAGGTCAGCGTCTCTTTTTGTGATCGTGTCTTAGAACGTATTTTACGAGGAAGAGAATTACGCGATACAACTATGAGAGAACTCTTTTAGCCAAGATAACAAAGCCACCAAACTAGTGGTAGACGACTTGGAACAAAGCAAGGAAAATGCGACGGTAAAAACCCTCAACTCCACAACCCTCAACTCCTGAAAATTAGAGGGTGCATGTTCTTTGCATGGCAAGTTATTATTGATAGCAGGTTTAAAACACCATCCCCAGCAGTCCTCTACTTTATTCACAAATCGGCATCTATACAACTCAAATGCTATATATAACTTATTAAACACACGATACATGTATATGCGAGCGAAAGGTCGCATGCCAAGAACAAGTATCGATCTCGAATTGTTGCGAACAATATACACCACCATCTTTTGCTGCAACCATACCATGATCCTCAATAAGCTCACACAGATTTGCCAAGACAGCAGGCTACTCACCTCGTCCACTAAGAACCTACCCATCCGGCACCTCCTGGCTTTCTTACTCATAACCCTTGTAACTGTGAAGTATCTTCTTACCCGACATCCACGCAGAGTGTACCTTGTTGAGTACGCTTGCTTTGGTCCTAACTCAAACTACCGAATTGCCCCAGCCTCCTTGATTGAGAATGTTCGCCTAGCATATTTCCTTGACGATGATAACATTTCCTTCCTAAGCAACATTTGTAGACGCTCTGGCCTTGGTGACGAGACATGCCTCCCCTCTTCACACCATTACATCCCTTCCATTCCTAGCTTTACCTTAGCTCGTATGGAGGCAGAGCAGGTCATCTTCACGGTCATCGATGACCTATTTGCCAAGGCATCAACCGAACCCAGTAAAATTGACATACTGATTGCCAACTGCAGCCTCATGACAATGGTACCATCCATCACTGACATGATCATAAACAGATACAAGCTGCGTAGCGATATACAGAATATGCAGCTATCTGGGATGGGGTGCAGTGCAGGACTGATCGCCGTTGGGCTCGCAAGGAACCTCCTGCGAACCATGCCCTACGGTGCACATGCGCTGGTGGTATCTACGGAGATTTTGACTTGCAACTGCTATGCAGGGAAGAAGAGATCGATGCAGCTGACCAACATGCTGTTTCGCATGGGAGGCGCCGCCGTTTTACTCTCAAATTCAAGGGCCAACGGTGCTCGGTTTCAGCTTCTGCACACTGTGCGGACATCCACTGGTGCCCAGGATAGCGCATACCGCTGTGCTTTTCAAGAAGAAGACCACGAGGGGAACCTAGGTGTTAATTTGTCCAAGGATCTTGTGGCCATGGCTGGTGAGGCACTCAAGGCCAACATCACCACAATTGCCCCTCTTCTGCTTCCGGTCTCTGAGCAGTTATCATTTTTGCTCTCCTCCATCGCACAAAAGGTTTTCATCATGAACAAAAGTCGTACAGGGCATCATCAGTATGTTCCAAATTTCGGCTTGGCCGCCGAGCATTTCTGCATACATGCTGGTGGGCGAGCAGTGATCGACGCAGTGCAGCGTAGTCTGAATCTATCAGATGAGCAGGCTGAGCCGTCGAGGATGACACTGCATCGATTTGGAAACACATCTAGCAGCTCCGTATGGTATGAAATGGCATATTGTGAGGCCAAGCAGTCGATGCGGAAGGGGGATCGAGTTTGGATGATTGGATTTGGGGCTGGGTATAATTGCAACAGCACCGTGTGGAAGTGTATTCGACCAGCTCGTAGCGCCGACTCAGCATGGGCAAACTGTATTCATCGTTACCCAATGGAAGTGAAGTCCCAAAACAAATCCAACCAACTGCCATGAGTAAAGAGTAGGTACCAAGATGGACTAGCAACATGTGAATACATGAAACCATGAATCCTTTTAGGCTTGTTCAGTCACAAATACTAGATCTTGGACTAGGATACGGTCTTAGGTAGGTATGTTCATCTCCAAAGCACACTTTGGTCTCCCTCTTTACCCTTCTTGTCCTCTCCTCGATCAATTACAGCATGCATGCTATGCCTCCCTCTCTCCAAGATGTGCAAAGGAGTTAATAAGCTACTCCAAGTTTGTATTCCAAACGAAAATATTGGACCTCTTTACATTTTGATTTTTCTAAAGCGACTCGGTTGTTTTCCTAATGCAAATATTGCATATATAATTTTGCTGACTATTCAACTGGCCGTGGCATCAGTACAGAGAAGTTTTTCAAAAGTGAAATTACTGAGGTCATTATAATTGTACTACGATGACATTAAAAATTGATTAGGTTTTCTACAATAGAATTAGCTATAATATTACAAAAATGTAGCTTATATAGATCTTACCCAAAGATTTTGGATCCAGAAGTACTAAATGGATGGCACATTTCATCTAAATATAGTAGTAGTTTAGTAATGGGTAAATTCCAATTTACAACCTTCAACTCCCGCCAAAGTTCGGATTTCAACCTCGAACTCTAAAACCGGATAACTTTGGCCCTCGAACTCTTGAAACCGTTCACTTTTCAACCCTAGGCCGGTTTCGGCGGTTTTGGCGGATGAACGGTAACTTTTGATATTTTCGAGAGGCGTCGAAATTTTATATTATTTTTTTGAGCATCTTAACGTCCTCAAATGAAAAAACTCAAAACTACAAAGTTGTAGATCTCATTGAGAGCTACAACTTTAGTATAAAAAGTATTCTCATTTAACTCCATACAAATAATATATTAGTGCTCTAATGCGGCAAGCGCTAGTAGGCGATTATTATGGTGCTGAAATTTTATATTATATTTTCGAGAATCTTACTGTCCTCAAATAAAAAAAATTAAAACTATAACGTTGTAGATCTCATCGAGGTCTACAATTTACATATAAAAATTATCTTCATCCGACATCGTATTGAAGGGTTTTCTATTTTTTGAAATTTGAGTCTCGTCACTTTTTTTTGGTTTATGACAGGTAAGTCTAGCTGAGTACATTCTCGTACTCTGGGTTTATTTCTCACTTGTTGCATATGGTATAGTCTATCATGGCTACTATAAAAACTGCTTCTGTCCCGTCATGGACAAGGAGTAGGGCCCTGGGCAAGGCGTCTCTCATTAATTCCCTCTTTCATGCTTTTGTGGTTGTGATCATGGATTGGCACTGTATTGGAACAATGATGTGAGGTGTTGGTTTTCAAACTTAATTGCTTCGGCGACTATTTTATTTGAACATGGTTTGTAATAACTCTTAATCGTACTCTGATGTATGACGTTGTATTTGTGAACTGATGTAACATGTGACATGTCTGTTGAATCATGTACGATTTTGGTTATATGTTGACGGTTAATCGAGACCCTTCGTGGTACTCGACGACCTACCGGGTTTATATGGGCTCAAGTATGATAGTATGACCGCTTAGGGGCTGCCATTATACTTGTGCTCTTTGATACAAAAACAAACAGTTACGATTTGAGACTTAAATTTCAAAAATAGAAAACCTTCAATACGATCGGCGTGAATATAATTTTTATATGAAATTGTAACGATGATGAGATCTACAACGTTATAGCGACAAGTTTTTTTTTAGAGGACAAGTGGATTGGAAAATATAATATAAAAGGTAGGTCGGAGAATAATCGCTTACTAGCGCTGCGCATCGGCACGTCGGTATTATTTGTATGGAGATAAATAATATTTTTATACCAAAGTGGTAGCTCTCAATAAGATCTACAACTTTGTAGTTTTGAGTTTTTTCATTGAGGACGCGGATGCTCAAAAAATGGAAGAAAATTTCGATAAAATATCAAAAGTACTGTTCTTCGCTAAAACCGCTTGCCCAGGTTGAAAAGTGAACGTCTCAAGAGTTCGCTAAAGTTAAGAGTTCGAGTTTGAAATAGCATATCAAACACATTATTTTAGTAATTAAATTGTTTTATCATTTCAAGATGTAATGAAGCTGACACAATGAAAATAACATGTATCTTGCGACATATACATGAATTTGCAATAAAAATACTATCATAAAATGTGGCATCATAGCAAATAATTTATTAGGATCTGTGGTGATATGTATATACGCTTTGTACCCATTTTTGAAAAATCAAAATGGGATACATACCATATTTAGAGAGTAGGACTTGTGATCAAATCAGCTAATTATTCCTATAAATAATGGTAATATCAAAAAACAATGCTTATTACATAACGTTTATTAGTATAAAGAATACAACATTAAACACAAACATTGGAAAGATATTACTGATCTTATAGCCAAGACTCCAAATCTTCCTAGTCTAATTATATGGTTTGATCACAAGTCTAACTTTCTAAACCTACTACATATACTACCACCCATTCCTAATAAATTTTTTCAAATGATTTAAAATAAAGCATGATAGTATTTTACATATCCTATGTATATGTCGATACAATAATGTATTTTCATTGTGTCAAAAGGTTGACTGACATTTCTTGACCAAACAATTTAGACTGAAAATAATGTTTTGATATGCTATTAGCAACGGCTTTGCTAAGTAACCACATGTTCAGTAAACAAGCGCTTAGCGTACAGCACACTTCATTACATCTTTCCAAAAAAATACATAAAACTCCTAATTACTACCACCTTTACATGTCGCCAAAGTCGCAACCTCGAACTCTACCTCATTGGCATCCTTTTCACCGACGGCTTGAGCGGTTTTGGCAGAAGAACAGTACCCCGCCGTCCATCTTAACGTCCTCAAATGACTCTTACCTAATTGAGCTAATTTGGTATAAAAATATTTTTATTTAACTCCACCAAATAATATATTAACTCTAACTTGCACTTGTCGCCAGCCGACTGAAATTTTATATCGACCAATAAAAAATTAAAACTATAACGTTGTCTTTCTCCTCGCCTACAATTTACATAAAAAAATTATATTCATCGCCTCACCGCTGAGCTATTTTTTGCCATTTATCCTGAAGCAGAACTGCTCAAATTTATAAGAGCACAAGTATAATGGCAGCCCATAAGCGGTCATACTATCATACTTGAGCCCATATAAACCCGGTAGGTCGTCGAGTACCACGAAGAGTCCTCAAATGGAAGGGATGTAATGGTGTGAAGAGGGGAGGCATGTCTCGTCACCAAGGCCAGAGCGTCTACAAATGTTGCTTAGGAAGGAAATGTTATCATCGTCAAGGAAATATGCTAGGCGAACATTCTCAATCAAGGAGGCTGGGGCAATTCGGTAGTTTGAGTTAGGACCAAAGCAAGCGTACTCAACAAGGTACACTCTGCGTGGATGTCGGGTAAGAAGATACTTCACAGTTACAAGGGTTATGAGTAAGAAAGCCAGGAGGTGCCGGATGGGTAGGTTCTTAGTGGACGAGGTGAGTAGCCTGCTGTCTTGGCAAATCTGTGTGAGCTTATTGAGGATCATGGTATGGTTGCAGCAAAAGATGGTGGTGTATATTGTTCGCAACAATTCGAGATCGATACTTGTTCTTGGCATGCAACCTTTCGCTCGCATATACATGTATCGTGTGTTTAATAAGTTATATATAGCATTTGAGTTGTATAGATGCCGATTTGTGAATAAAGTAGAGGACTGCTGGGGATGGTGTTTTAAACCTGCTATCAATAATAACTTGCCATGCAAAGAACATGCACCCTCTAATTTTCAGGAGTTGAGGGTTGTGGAGTTGAGGGCTTTTACCGTCGCATTTTCCTTGCTTTGTTCCAAGTCGTCTACCACTAGTTTGGTGGCTTTGTTATCTTGGCTAAAAGAGTTCTCTCATAGTTGTATCGCGTAATTCTCTTCCTCGTAAAATACGTTCTAAGACACGATCACAAAAAGAGACGCTGACCTTGCACATCTTTTTAATAGAAAAAGGTAATTTTATTCCAGTCTCTTCAAGACCTTTGCACTCAACCAATCCATTATTACAGTTCAACCTTCTACTAGATTTAAAGAGCTCACAGAAAAGCAAAAAAGAAAAAAAGAAAAGAAAAGGAGACCAACAAACTAAGCACTAAACCTATTAGAAGACAACCATCCATGCTTGACGAAAATCGGAGTTGCTATAATTCACGTGTTTGAGTTTTCAGGCAATAATCTTAGACAATCAACCAGTACAATTAAATCAAGTAGTATAATTAAAGAAGGAGAACTCACAAAAGACAATTCACAAATTACAAAGCTACATGTTGCCTGAACATTAAATAAAAAATTAGGCACCTAAAATGTAGGACAAGTGTTGCCCATATGTATGGTGTGTTTAAGTCACAGCATGCAGTTGAACTGTAATAATGTTGGGCTCGAGAAGTCACAGCATACAGTTGAACTGTAATATTGTACAGCCGAATCTGTCCATCATACTTCATATCAAGAATGGGCTTGCCGTCAAGGTGAGGAGAAGGGACGTCGCGGCTAGCTCCTGACTGAACACGTCTCTCCCCATTTGACCATATATGTGAGCACTGCATGGTTTGCTAGTTCGTTCTATAATCTATTATATCATGTACCGTTTGCATAATGTGGCCGTGGCATGTGTGTTAAATAAAGGTTTGACATGTACACACTCCAGTATATATGTATTTGTTGCTTCCATCAAATATAATAACGTGATTGTTGTACCCGTATACTTCGTCGGAAGTTCCCATGCAACTATGCAAACATTCCTTCCATTTTTCTTTTATATATAAAACACACTACAGAAGCTCAAATGGACATGCACACACGTACGCTCCTATAACGTGACCATTACGACGCCCACGCCACTCATTCACAAAACATCAGACCGAAGGATACCGGGCCGCGATGTGGTACTCGGACCCCGACGACCAATCCGGTCCGGGATGGGCCC